AAGCCACACTACTGGAAGACCACTGGACTAACGAGGAGATCAAAGAAGAAATTAAAAAATTCTTTGAATTGAATGACAAGGAGGACACCAATATTCTAAATGTATGGGATGCAGCAAAAGCAGTAATAAGAGGAAAATATATAGCAATAGAAGCTCACATCAAAAAACAAGAAAGAACTCAAAGAAACAACCTAATCTCGAAGCTCAAAGATCTAGAAAAAGAACAACAAAAAAACCCCAGAACCAGTAGAAGAAAAGAAATAATAAAAACCAAAGCAGAAATAAATGAAATTGAAACTAAAAAAACAATCCAAAAGATCAATGAAACCAAGAGCTGGTTCTTTGAAAAAATCAATAAAATAGACAAACCCCTAGCCAGGCTCACAAAGGAAAAAAGGGAGAAAGCACAAATACACAGAATCATAAATGAAAGAGGAGAAATCACAACGGACACAGCAGAAATCAAAAGAATAATCAGTAACTACTATGAACAGTTATATGGAAACAAGTTCAACAATCTAGAGGAGATGGACAAATTCCTACAACTCTACAATCACCCAAAGCTAGATAAAGAAGAATAGAACACCTAAACAGACCAATTACAAGCAGTGAAATTGAAATGGTAATTAAAAAACCTCCCCAAAAACAAAAGCCCGACCTGATGGATTTACAAATGAATTCTACCAAACATTCAGAGACGAATTAGTGCCTATCCTTCACAAACTCTTCCAAAAAATTGAGAAGGAAGGGACAATACCAAACACGTTCTATGAAGCCAATTATTACACTAATACCAAAACCGCGAATAAGGACAACACAAAAAAGGAAACTATAGGCCAATCTCCCTAATGAAACAATGATGCAAAAATCCTCAATAAAATTTTAGCTATCAGAATCCAACAATGTATCCATAAGATAATTCACCACGACCAAGTTGGATTCATTCCAGGGGCACAAGGATGGGTTTAACATCCGAAAATCAATCAACGTTATCCAACACATCAACAAAAAGAAATATAAAAACCATATGATAATATCAATAGATGCTGAGAAAGCTTTCGACAAAGTGCAAACACCCATTCATGATAAAAGCCCTTGAAATTCTTGGGATACAAGGAACATACCTCAACATCATAAAGGCCATCTATGACAAGCCAACAGCCAGTATCATTCTCAATGGTGAAAAGCTGAAAGCAATTCCTTAAGATCTGGAACAAGACAGGATGTCCACTCTCACCACTGCTTTTCAATATAATACTGGAAGTCCTAGCCAGAGCAATAAGACAAGAGAAAGACATCCAAGGAATCCAAATAGGAAAAGAAGAAGTCAAACTATCACTATTTGCAGATGATATGATAATATACATAGAGAACCCCAAAATCTCCACAGAAAAACTAATTCAACTCATCAATCAATTCAGTAAAGTGGCAGGATACAAAATCAACACGCAAAAGTCAGTAGCCTTCCTATACACAAACAATAAATCTGAAGAAGAAGAAATCAAAAAACCACCCCTTTTATTATCGAAACAAAAAAAATCAAATATTTGGGAATAAATCTAACAAAAGAGGTAAAGGACCTATACAAAGAAAACTATAAAACACTGTTAAAAGAAATAGAAGAAGACACAAAGAAATGGAAAGACATCCCCTGCTCATGGATTGGAAGAATAAACATTATTAAAATGGCCATCCTACCAAAAGCAATATACAGATTCAATGCTATTCCAATCAAAATCTCAATGGCATTCTTCAAAGAAATAGAACAATTATTGATGAAATTCATATGGAATCACCAAAAACCCCGAATAGCCAAAGCTCTACTGAAAAAAAAAGAAGGAAATGGAGGCATCACACTCCCAGACTTCAAACTCTACTACAAAGCCATAATCATCAAAACTGCATGGTATTGGAACAAGAACAGACATACAGACCAATGGAATCGAATAGAAAATCCAGAAATAAACCCACAGATTTATGGTCAACTAATCTTTGACAAAGGAGCAAGACTATGCATTGGAGCAAAGAAAGTTTGTTCAATAAATGGTGCTGGGAAAACTGGGTCGCTACATGCAAAAGAATGAAGCTTGACCACTACCTCACACCATACACAAAAATCAACTCAAAATGGATTAAAGAACTAGACATAAGACCTGAAACCATAAAATACATAGAAGGAAATATAGGCGAAACACTACGGGATTTGCACATCAAAGACATCTTTACAGACACATCACCCAAAGCAGTGATAGTGAAGAGAAAGATAAACAGCTGGGACTACATCAAATTAAAGAGCTTCTGCACAGCAAAAGAGACAATAACAAAAACAAAGAGAAACCCCACCAACTGGGAGAACATTTTTGCACCCAACACTAATGATAAAGGACTGATCACAAAAATCTGCAAAGAGCTGATGAGACTCAGCAACAACAAAGAAAATAATCCAGTCAAAAAATGGGCAGAAGAGCTAAAAAGAAACTTCTCTGAAGAGGAAATGCAAATGGCCAACAGACATATGAAAAAATGTTCAACATCACTTGTAATCAGGGAAATGCAAATCAAAACTACCATGAGATACCATCTCACACCAGTGAGAATGGCACATATTAAAAAAACTAGCAACAACAAATGTTGGCGAGGATGTGGAGAAAAAGGAACTCTTGTGCACTGTTGGTGGGAGTGCAAACTGGTCCAACCACTATGGAGAGCTGTGTGGAGATTTCTGGACCTACTAAACATAGGGCTTCCATATGATCCAGCAATTCCACTCCTAGGTATTTACCCAAAGGACACAGAAACATCAATTCCAAAGAGCACCTGTACCCCTATGTTTATAGCAGCACTGTTTACAATAGCTAAGCTTTGGAAACAACCCAAATGCCCAAAAATAGATGACTGGATCAAGAAGATGTGGTACATATATACCATGGAATATTACTCAGCATTCAAAAAAGATAAACACATGCAATTTGCAGCAACATGGATGGCACTGGAAGGGATCATGCTCAGCGAAATAAGCCAAAAAGAAAAAGAAAAATACCGGATGGTCTCACTCATAGCAGGAATCTAGAAAACTTAAATAAGGGACCAGGAAAATGAATATAAGAAAGTGAAAATCAAAATCAACAAAAAACTATGAACCAGAGACACTTGTTGGGGGGTGGGGGCGGGAGGGGAAGGATTGGGGTCAGAATGGGGCGTTTGCAATTGTATGGGGGAATATAAAAATAAAATTTAATATTTAAAAAAAAAATAAAAAAATAAAAGGAAAAAAAAAAAAATATGAAATAGTTTCTTTTGGGACAAAATGAATGGACCTCAAGGTGATTATGTGAAGTGAAATAAACCAAAAAGTGATAGATATAAAAAAAAAAAAAAAAAAAAAAAAAAAAAAAGAAAGATAAACAGCTGGGACTACATCAAATTAAAGAGCTTCTGCACAGCAAAAGAGACAATAACAAAAACAAAGAGAAACCCCACCAACTGGGAGAACATTTTTGCACCCAACACTAATGATAAAGGACTGATCACAAAAATCTGCAAAGAGCTGATAAGACTCAGCAACAACAAAGAAAATAATCCAGTCAAAAAATGGGCAGAAGAGCTAAAAAGAAACTTCTCTGAAGAGGAAATGCAAATGGCCAACAGACATATGAAAAAATGTTCAACATCACTTGTAATCAGGGAAATGCAAATCAAAACTACTATGAGATACCATCTCACACCAGTGAGAATGGCACATATTAAAAAAACTAGCAACAACAAATGTTGGCGAGGATGTGGAGAAAAAGGAACTCTTGTGCACTGTTGGTGGGAGTGCAAACTGGTCCAACCATTATGGAGAGCTGTGTGGAGATTTCTGGACCTACTAAACATAGAGCTTCCATATGATCCAGCAATTCCACTCCTAGGTATTTACCCAAAGGACACAGAAACATCAATTCCAAAGAGCACCTGCACTCCTATGTTTATAGCAGCACTGTTTACAATAGCTAAGCTTTGGAAACAACCCAAATGCCCAAAAATAGATGACTGGATCAAGAAGATGTGGTACATATATACCATGGAATATTACTCAGCCTTCAAAAAAGATAAACACATGCCATTTGCAGCAACATGGATGGCGCGGGAAGGGATCATGCTCAGCGAAATAAGCCAAAAAAAAGAAAAATACCGGATGGTCTCACTCATAGCAGGAATCTAGAAAACTTAAATAAGGGACCAGGAATGAATATAAGAAAGTGAAAATCAAATCAACAAAAAACTATGAACCAGAGACACTTTTTGGGGGGTGGGGGGCGGGAGGGGAAGGATTGGGGTCAGAATGGGGCGTTTGCAATTGTATGGGGGAATATAAAAATAAAATTTAATATTTAAAAAAAAAAAAAAAAAAAAAGATCCTTGTTTGCCTAGACCCTGAATAGTCCTGCCAGTATGTCTTTGATTTGCTATTCTCTGCTAGATTTCTGGACTGTTTTTAACTCCATCTTGGTCCTATATGTTTCAGCCTGAGAGGAAGTTTGGTGTGGTGGTGGTTGGCGTTGGCAGAGCTGGCTCTGTGCGGATGAGAGACTTGCGGAATCCACATGCTTCCTCGGCGTTCCTGAACCTGATTGGCTTTGTGTCCAGGTGACTTGGACTTGCTTTGTGCCTCATAATTTGTGGGAAGCACAATGATATGGATTATGCTGTGGGACATGGAGATTCTTCAGACCCAGGAGTCAGCCAACCCTGTGCTCCTGAACTCTCAGTTCTGTGCTCAGAATCAGATCCACAAAATCTCAAGTTCAATGGTTCTTGAAACTAAAGAGTGCTGACCTGCACTTGGAAATTGCAACAAGTCAACCTAGGGGTGCATTAACCACATGGTGGATTGACCTGAAAGATTTCAGGTGTGCCACTTAGTTGCTACATCAGTTATAACAGCTATCCATGTGGTAGCCCTGGGCTTTACAAACCTTACCAACTATTTGACATGGATACTATTATCAACATTGAATTAAATGTGTAGAAGCTGAACCACAGAGAAGTTGAGTAATTTGTCTGTAGTAACGCTTTTGAAAAAATCTAAGAACTGTGTTTGAATGTAGTACGTTTGATTTCACTGCCCATCATTTTAACACCATGTGTACTTTTCCATGGTGCAATTTTTTTTCCATGGTGTACTTTTTTTTCCATGGTGTACTTTTTCCATGGGGCACTAAGGAGATCCAGAATTGTTGGGAATCCATGGTGCACTTTTTTTTCCATTGTGTACTTTTTTTTCCATGGTGTACTTTTCCATGGGGCACTAAGGAGATCCAGAATTGTTGGGAATCCTCCCTGGTCACACAAAATGATTAGTAGTCAATGCTGTACCTCTTGTACCGCTACTTGAAACTGGGATCAAGCATGACACTTGGGGCCAGGCTGAAGCCAGACCTCTTCTTTTTCCTGAAGCCCCAGTCCTCTGCCAGCTGACTGCCATGACAGTAGGAACTCCTAAACTACCTAGGTCATGTGGGAAAATAGCTAGTTCATACCCCCTGCTTTCTGTACCCTGTCATTATACATACTGTTCCCCTTCTCAATTCTCAAATTAAACAACTTATCTACTAATCCTTACTCTCTCCCCAGGAAATCTTTTCTGAAACCCTAAACTAGATGTTCCTTGTCTTCTCTGAATCTCCCGCCTGTCTTATATTGTTATCATATATGTGTTTGTGTGTCTTTCTTCCTCTATTATAACGTGAACTCATTGGAAGTTGAGGACTTTTAATTTATTCTCTGTGATTGTCCCTATAGTGCCTAGCCCACAATAGCCAAAAACCAATGATCAAATCAAGCAGTGTAGAGTAGGGCCCCATAGGAAGAAACCTACCATAATATCTTTTAATGGCCAGACTTCCCCAAATGCCCTTAACCTGCTAAGCTCAGATGGTACTCTGAGTTGACTGAGAGTTCCTGCTGGCTGCCCCAGATTCCAGTGTGAATGCCTGCTGCTTCACTGCTCCTGCCTCTTCACCAGGGCAATATGCAGCTGGCCAGGACTTCAGCTCTTCTAAAGCAGAATATCCTTGTCACTCTCTCAGAATCTAATGTTAAAAGGTTTCTGTCCTGCCTCTGCTAATGTTTTTTAGTCATGGCAGTCACTGCCTTCTGGGCTTTATTTCCTTTGCTGTAAGGAGACAATATACCTGGCTTCCACTTGACTGTCTACAAGGCTGTGATATATATGAAAGAGCTTAAGGCCTCAAAGTCAGTGTGTTGAATTTGGAATAGGTTTAATAGTCACAGCATTTGACCCAAGTGCATGGAGCTGGCAATGACAATAGAGATCACTTAGCATGAGAAAAAGTTCTTTTTTCATTTTATTTTAAAGTTCTTTTTATTTTAAAGATGAATTCAGAGACTCCCATAACATACAGGTTGTTAATTATGGCCTGAGCAACAGTTCATCAGTCTTCAAACCTAATTTTTCTCATTCCATGGGAAAATGCAGCAGAAGTTGGAGGGAGGAAATTTATTTCTTCATTTCCAAAAGCTACTCATCAAGACATTGTTAAGGGGGTTTTGCTCATTTATTTGATAGTCTGCTTACTTTTGAATTCCATTTCTTTGTTATTTTCAAATAGACGAGAACTCACAAGAATTGATGAAGTTCAGCAGATTTCTTTGGAAGATGCTCTTTCTAACCAAGAGGTTGAGGTTGCTTATATCTGTAGTGAAAGCTCCAGCCATGAGAACTACATCAGGTGGGTAACTTTACTTTGCACAATAGTGCAGGACTGTAAAAAATACATGTACACTAACACATTGGTGAAGGAGTCTTAATAACTAAGGGGAAAAATAATGTAGATTCATGACTTTTAATAATGTCAGTATGTTAAAACCGCTCACTATTGATCATAAATATATAAGAAAGTAGGATTATTTTGCACTATAAAACATTAAGATTTAAAGTGTTTTATTTCTTTTTAAAAAAGATTTATTTTTATTAGATTTAAATCTTTTTTTAAAGATGTATTAGCACTGGGGTATAGGCCAGAGATGTGGAGGGTGAGAGACTCACCAGAGACAGAGTGGGGAACAGAACAAGTGGATTGACTGAAATACACTGCTGAGAGGAGCAGCGGGCGAGACAGAAGAGGTCTGCTATGCCATGTGGGTTAGCTCCCTGGCAGAGGATTGCATTCATGCCACAGTGGCTGGCAATAGCTTGATAGCACTGAGACACTAACCCGTGTCCCACCAGGGAGACGCCAAGTGTTTTATTTCTTTGTAGAAAAATTTTATTGAGAGTAGTTTAAAAAATGCTCATCTTTTTCTTATCATTTAACCTAAAATATAGAACCCAGAGTATTTTCTGAACTTGACAAATTTTCATAGTCCTTTCTAAATTTTAGCCTTTAAAAGTCTTGCAATGTCATGAATATTTCTGAGAGTGCTTTTAATATGAAGTATTTTTGCAATGAGATAAGTAAGGAACTAGTGGTGGCATCAAAGAGGGAAATGACGTCGTAGAGCAAGGGAAGTGAAGTGACCCTCTGCCCCACCTTTGAATGTGAAACCCAGAGCTCTCAAGCATTTGGTGAGACTAATCTAGAAGGAGGAGCCCCCAGGCAGTGAACAAAGGCAGTGCCATCAGCCTCCCTGAATCTCAGCTTCCCTTCAAAGTTCTTTATGTTGAACCATAGTTGACACTGCCATGCTGTTCTCTAGGAGAAAACGGCTCTCTGTCACTCCAACTCAGGTGTGGACAGAAACAGATTTCCTTGATTCCTCTTAACCCTCTTTGGTACTAGAGTGTATTTTCTTTAAAAAACAAACAAACAAACAAACAAGAAAACAAGTACCCATGTAATTCCCATGCATATACAAGTATTCGTGCCCCTATGTATCTAGAGAATCAAATCAAATCAAACTTCTGACTCATTTCTAGGTCCTTCATAGTCAGACTCCTGTCTACTTTTGTGACTTCTTTCTTCTCTACTTCCTATAGCTTACTACTGTGCTGAAATTTGCACCATATCTAAAGGGACAAAGCTCCAGAAAGTGCATAGCTCCTACATGTACTGCTCAAAGTGAGACACCCTCATCCTATTGCACCTGGAAAATGCCTACTCCTACTTCAAACACAGTTCAGATGTACTGATAGTGAAATCTTTTCAGGCTGCCTCAGGTAGAGCTAGCTGCCATAAGATTTGTAACCTTTGTAACTATCTTGTGATAACAGGTAATTTACCTGTTAATGTGTCTTTATTTCTCTTAAACAGAAACTAGTTAACTAGTTGAATATGTGAAATATGAAAGTTCAAATTAACATATTAATGAAAAGTTATTCTTTCCATTTGCACAAAATAATAATTCAAAGTACAATTCTTCCTCCTTATCCTCTGACCATATCACCTGCATTCCTTCAGATACATTTACACTCAAGATTTTTGTGCATTTATAATGTCATTCAGGGCAGTTTAGTGAAGCCTATTTGAAGTGTATTTTTTGTGTATTTATCTCTTCTTTTCAAAGGCAGTTCCTTAATGCTGGCAAGCATGTCCTTGTGGAATACCCTATGACATTGTCTCGGGCGGCAGCTCAGGACCTGTGGGAGCTGGCTGAGCAGAAAGGTGACATATGTTCTGTCTCTCTAGAGCACGGACCCTTCTATTAAGAGTTTCTGCCTCTAAGATTACTGAAGTACCATCTTTTTTGCCTTTAAAATGTAACCCCATATCAGATATATTACTAGGTGGACACCTATTCTCCTCTCCACCCCCCTTATTAAGGACACACCTGAGAGGTGTGTGGAGGGCCAACAGGTGAAGGGATTGGTGAGAATTTGCAAACTATTGTTTGAGACTTACCAGCTTCTCTTATCCTAGTGAAAAATAAGTATATACATTAGTTTCTACTTGTGCTAGTGTCATGATAATGTTTTGATTTTATTTGTTCAGTAATTCTATTATTAATGAAAAGGCACTCACATAAGAGTAATTGATTTTCTTATATTCATATTTTGTATTTTGTGTTGTTCCTTAAGGGGAGCATCAATTTATTAAATATTTACTACATGCCAGGAACTTGGGAATTCTGCTAAGTACTTCATATGTTATGTTAATTCTATAGAAATCCTTGGAGGTAGTAGGTATTTTCTATAGCGAATAGAAATCTTGGCTCAGAGGAGTTATATAATACATGCCATGCCACAAAGCTTGTAACATGACTATTAAATGGAGATTTGAATTCAATCCTTTCAGATTCTGAATCCATCACATTTATTCCTTTAAACTGTACTGCCCTCCAGAGATTTTTATGTTTTTACAGTAACTCAACAAGTCCCACAGTCACAGTGCAGGCAACAAGAATTAACTAGAGACATAGAGATCAATTAACTTTAGCGATAAAAGGAGCTAGTAATTGAGATTTAAATTAAAAAACTCTTTTTGTTTCAGCATTTGCTATTGAAAACCTTTAATATATGAATGTATGATATATGGTGAATAACTGTAATGAAAATCACCCAAAAAATCTATGTAAACTCAAAACTCCTGATTACTTTATCAAAACTCCTGATTATTTTTTTCTGTCACTGGGCTGTGATTCTAGAGGACAGAGCTCATTTTAACCCCTCTGTAACCCCAGCAGCTAAACATTGCCTAGAACTTAATATGTCTTCAGTAGATGTTGTAAAGTAAACAAATGGATGAATAACTATTGTGAAGTGAGCAAGAGGATTGGGAAGATTTGAGGCCATCAGTTTTCTATATTATTTCTCATGGCACAGGTATACATGAGCAAAGTACAAGATGCCAAAGAATGCCACACGGATTTCTTGCCTATTGCAAGGAAAAAAAAAAAAAAGTCTGTTTACAATGAAGAGCTCTGCTGTTATCATCCAAACCAAATGACTGCTGATATGGGTCAATCTGACAAGATTGGGCCTGTTCAGAGTGGTATGGCCATAGAAAATATATGGGTCAGTCTGATATCATGAGCTTTCTGGTATACTTCAACTGTATAACTGAGACTTAAACCAAACTTTCAGTTTATAGAAATAGATAAGGAAACAAATTTAATTGCACCATAAAAAGATAACAGAGTAAGTTTCTTAAAAAGATATAGTTACTCCCTTCTGAAAAGTACAATATGGAAAGGAGGGAAAAGAGTAACTTTATTCTGGAGAAATCAGACAAGCACTACCTCAGCCTATGGTCAAGGTCAACATCAATAATGATAAGTCACCATTTAATGGCATGTATCCTTGATATGATGTGTTGAAAATGACCCATTTCCTCTCTGGTTTTCCTCCTCAAAATATATAGCCCTAGTCTAATCATGAGAAAATCAGCAAAAATACATTAGTTGAGAGGGACTCTACAAAATAACTGACTAATATTCTTCAGAACTGTCAGGATCATTAAAAATAAGAAAAGTTTGAGAAACTTTATAACCCACGATGAGCCTAAGGTGACTTGATGACTAAATGTAATGTGTTATACTAAAACAAACAAAAAAATTAGGTAAAAACTAAAGAAATCAGAATGAAATAGGAACTTTAGTTAATTTTTTTTAAAAATGAGAAACAAAGTACAAAGAATCAGTGTTATATTGGAGATTTGTTATTAGCTCCTTAAGAAGCGAATTTGGTTATGTAAAGATTAGGAATAACTTTTTGTCCCGACCCGCGGGATTCGTAGGCACGAAAAGAGAAGGGCTGAGGATTGAAGTGAGGGGCTTGAGACAACTTGACGCTAGCGTTTACTTCTTTATTTTTCCTTTTCCTTTCTTTTACTTTTCCCTGTCTTTCTACCTTCCCTGACCTTCTCTCTGCTCCTCTCGCAATAATCTCTCTCGCAATAACCTCCTCGCAATGACCTCCTGACCTTCTCGTGGTTCTCCTCTTATATCCTGGTAGCTCCTCCCATCGCACCTCCCAGTCTCATTTGATTAATAGGAAACACCTGTAGTTTCTCAGCAGGCAAACTGTAAAGTGAAAACTAATTAATAGCACGTGTGTTGCGCAACACAGCGCATGCTCCAGGCGGCTCTGGACAACTTTAAAAAAAAATAAAGTTCTTAACAATGAAAGTGACCTTTGTTCTCTAGGTAAATATTCATAACTCATGCTAGAACATTCATTAAGCACTTGTACATAATTATCATTATATAAGAGCTATGGAGCTTGATAATAGTGATAACACAACAATGCACCTTATCCTTGGGGAACTCACATTGCTAAATGTTCATAATTAGCAGTGTTAATTTACGTGCTACAAAGGATTTGAAAAGGCAACTGTAACATTGTAGTCCAGGAAGTAAGAAACTTACTAAACTCGGAATACCAAAAGTTACATCATTTCAGTTGGCATATATACACAAAATGTGTGGGTGATATTTGCAGTATGATTGAATAGGAAGCCTAGGACATTATTCCCCCAAGTAGACACTTACTCAACACACATATATATACCAAATAGCCTTTGTGAGAACTTCAGAAACAAATTAAGTGGCTGCAGTACCCCAGGCAAGCACAAAGTCAAGAAGATCTACATTGAAACAGGTAAGAAAGTTTATTACATTAGCTCTTAATAGCCCTTACCCCTTCCTTGTACAACATTGGTATGAGCAGAAACCTTTAGGGACTTGTGAGACACCATCAACCAGATGCATTATTGCAAGTTCTAGAAAGAGAGAGAAAGGAAAAGAGAAGTTATTTGAAGAAAAATGTCTGAAAACTTCCCAAATTTGAGGAAGGTATTGGGGTACAAATTCAAGACACTATATGAGCTCCAACTAAATACAAGTCCAGAGACCCTCACCAGGATACATTATAATTCTTCTGTCAAAACTCACAGGCAAAGGCATAATCTTCAAAAAATCAAAGGAAAGTGACTCATAGTATACAAAGGAGCTTTTACATGATTCTCAGCAGAATTCTCAGTTGAAACTTTGTAGTCCAAAAAGTAGATGGGTGTATCAAAATGTTGAAAGGAAAAATAATATCCTGCCAACTAAGAATACTACTTTCAGCAAAACTGTGTATCAAAAATGAAGGTGAAATTAAGACTATTCCCATACAGGGTCCTCCCTGGTGGTGCAAGGAGTTAAGACACAACCTATGAAGCTACCCACAGCCATGCAACATAAGCTACCCACATGGCAGGGCAGACCTCTCCTGTCTCACCCGCTGCTCCCCCCAGCAGTGTATTTCAGTCAGTCTGCCTGTTCTGTTCCCCACTCTGTTTCTGGTGAATCCTCTTACTCCCCACACCTCTGGCCTGTACCCCAGTTCTTGTATGCATAAATAAATAAATCTTTAAGAAAAAAAGATTATTCCCAGACAAGTGAAAGTTGAAGGAGCTAATTTGCCATTACACATATAGGAAATTCTAAAGGAAGCCCTTCAAACTGAAACAAAAGTGTGCTAGACAGCAATACAAAAGCATTTTAAAATGAAAAGGAAAATATAAAGACAAAGAATACTGTAGTAGTTATATTGGTGCATAAGTCATTTTTTAATTTTTTTATTTTTCTGAGCATTTTTATTTTATATATTTTTTACATCATTTTTCATTTTTGCACAATGTATGCATTTTCATATTGGTCATAGTCCCCATACAATTCCTACCCCTCTTGTTTTGATCCTACTCTCTCCCCCCCCCCCATAGTGTGTCTCTGGTTTGTAGTTGGTTGTTGATTTTGATTTTTACTTTATTATAATTAGTCTTTTTCCTGGATCCTTATTTAGGTTTGCTAAATTCTTGCTATGAGTGAGACCATCTGATATTTTTCTTTTACTTTCTGGCTTATTTTGCCGAGCATGATCCCTCCCAGCTCCATCCATGTTGCTGCAAATTGCATGAGTTTATCTTTTTTGATTGCTGAGCAATATTCCGTTGTATATATGTATCACATCTTCTTGATCCAGTCATCTATTTTTGGGCATTTGGGTTGTTTCCACTGTTAAAAGAAATAGGAGAAGACACAAAGAAATGGAAAGACATCCCCTGCTCATGGATTGGAAGAATTAACATTATCAAAATGGCCATCCTACCAAAAGCAATTTACAGATTCAATGCTATTCCAATAAAAATTTCAATGACATATTTCAAAGAAATAGAACAAATATTGATGAAATTCAAATGAAACCACCAAAAACCCTGAATAGCCAAAGCTCTTCTGAAAAAAAAAAAAAAAAGAAGGGAATGGAGGTATCACACGCCCAGACTTCAGATTATACTACAAAGCCATAATAATCAAAACTGCATGGTATTGGAACAAGAACAGATGCATGGAACAATGAAACCAAATAGAAAATCCATAAATAAACCCACAGATTTACGGTCAACTAATCTTTGACAAGGGAGCATAAGTCATTTTAAATTCAGGTATAAAATTGAAAATATGTAGCACAAAATAACTACAAATGTATCTTAATGGTTTGTAATGCAAAAATATCATTTTTGACATGAGAAACAAGTTGAGAGGTTGGAAATATTAAGGAATAGAACATTTATATGCAATTGAAGTTTAATTGTTTAAATTAGGTTATTTTGACTTTAAGATGTTTTATATAGGGCCTACCTGGTGGCGCAGCAGTTGAGCGCTGGGTTGCGAAGCTGCCCGC